ACCTTGGTGTTCAACAGTGTGATGGACCTGGGGTCGGCCAGCCCCTCTGTGCACGTGTGTGTGTGCATGCACACACAAACACATATATACATCTATAGGTGGGGAATGTGTTTACGTTCACACGTGTTTATACATGTATACAGGTACGGAACGCAACTTTATTTGGGTAGCTTTTTCTCTGACTATAAAAATAATCTTGCTTTTTAAATTATTGATAGACTATTTTTAGAGCACTTTTAGGGTTACAGAAAAATAGCACAGAAAGAACAGAGAGTTCCCATGCACCCCCCAACCCCCAGTTTCCCCTAATATTTACGTCTTGCACTAGTGTGGTACATTTGTTATAATCGATGAGCCAATATTGACTTATTATTATTTCTGAAGTCCATAGTTTACATTTCAGCACCATCTGTAAGTCGGTTGTACTGTCGTGGTTTGTGTGTTGCTGTGATAATGGAAGCTATGTCACCAGTATTTCAAATACCAGCGGGGTCGCCCACAGTAGACAGGTTTCAGCAGAGCTTCCAGACTAATACAGACTAGGAAGAAAGGCCTTGCGTTCTACTTCTGAAACTTAGCCACTGAAAACCCTATGGATCACAACAGAATATTGTCTGATATAGTGCTGGAAAATGTGCCCCCTAGGTTGGAAGGCAGTCAAAATACACAGTCACAACAATGGACTCGAGGATGCTGATGATCGTGAAGATGGCACAGGACCGGGCAACGTTTCGTTCTGTTGTACGTGGGGTAGCCATGAGTCAGAGCCGACCTGACAGCAACTAACAACCACAGCATAGTTTACGTTGGGGTGCGTACACTCTTTGTGTTGTACAGTCCTCTTGAGTTTTGACGTATGCATAATGTTATGTGTCTTAGTAATCTAGTGCTGCTATAACAGAAATACCACAAGTGGATGGCTTTAACAAAGAGAAGTTTATTCTCTCACCATCCAGTAGGCTACAAGTCCAAATTCAGGGTGTCAGCTCCAAGGGAACACTTTCTCTTTAAGCTCTGGAGGAAGGTCCGTGTCATCAGTCTTCCCTTGGTCTGGGAGCTTCTCTGTGTAGGAACCTCAGGTCCAAAGGATGCCCTCTGCTCCCAGCACTGTTTTCTTGGTGGTATGATGTTCCCATGTGTCTCTGCTCCCTTCTCTCTTTTGTATCTCAAAAGAGATTGGCTTAAGACACTATCCAGTCTTGCATACCTCATCAGTATAACTGCCACTAATCCATCTCATTATATCATAGTGATAAAGTTTACAACACATAAGGAAATCACGTTAGATTACAGAATGGTACACAATCATACAATACTAGGAATCATGACCCAGCCAAACTGGTACATATATTTTTTAGGGGACATAATTCAGTCCATGACACTGTGTAATCTTGCTTTTGTTTGTTTAAGAAATTCAGAAAATACAGGAAAGTATAAAGAAAAAAATCATCTATAATGTCACCACTCGTTGGCATCCACTATCCTTATTTAGGTGTATTTCCTTCCAGACATTTATAAGTTTTGTGGAATCATTCCAAACATTCTTTTTTGTAATGTGCTTATAATCCACTTATTAAATTAATATCCTTTGCCTTAACTCCTGTTTAAGATTCTGATTTTGGCATTCATCATTTATCTAAATCTTTTTAAATAATAGCTTTATGAGATATAATTCATGTACCGTAAAATTCATCCTTTTTACTTGTACAATTCAGTGTTTTAGTATGTTCACAGAGTTGTGCAACCATCAACACTATCCAATTCCAGAACATTTTATCACCCCAAAAAGAAATCCCATACCCATCAGCAGTCACTCCCTGTTCCCAGTACCTCCAGTCCCTGGCAGCGACTAATCTACCTTCTGACTGTATGGATTTGCTTATTCTAGGCATTTCATGTAAATGCAGTCTTATAGCATATGGCACTTTGTGACTGGCTCGTTTCACTCAGCATCGTGTTTTCAAGGTTCATCCATGCTGTATCAGTACTTCATTCTTTCGAAGGGCTGAGTAATATTCCATTGTATGAATAGACCACATTTTATTTATCCACTTATCAGCTGATGAACATACAGGTTGTTTGCACTTTTTTGGGTGTTATGAATAATGCTACTATACACATCTGTGTACAGGTTTTTGTGTGGACATGTGTTTTCAATTCTTCTGGATATTTACCTAGGAGTGGAATTGCTGGGTCATAAACATAAACTCTATGTTTAACCTTTGAGGAACTCCTTTCCAAAGCAGCTGTACCATTTTACATTCTCACAAACAATGTATGAGAGTTCCAGTTTCTCCATGTTCTTGTCAACACTTGTTATTATCTGTCTTTTTTATTATAGCCATCCTAGTGGGTGTGAAGTGGTATGTTATTGTGAATTTGACTGTCATTTCCCTAATGATTAAGGGGGAAGTCCCTGGGTGGTACAGATAGTTTATGTACTTGGCTGCTAACCGAAAGGTTGGAGGTTTGAGTCACCCAGAGGCACTTTGAAAGAAAAGCCTGGCAGTTTACTTCCGAAAAAAACAGCTATTGAAAACCCTTTGGAGCACAAGTCTGCTCTAACACACATGTGGGGGCCATAAGTCAGAATTGACAGCAACTGGTTAACTGGTTAAATGATTAATGATGTTGAGCATTTTTTCATGTGCTTTTTGGACATTTATATATCTTCTTTGGAGAAATGTCTATTTAGATTTTTTTGCCCATTTTTAAATTTAGTTATTTGTCTTTTTATTGTTGAGCTGTAAGAGTTCTTTATATACTCGGGACACCAGATCCTTATCAGGTATATGATTTGCAAATCCTTTGCAACACATTGTGTGGGTTGTCTTTTGACTTTCTTAGTAGTGTCTTTTGAGGTACAAAACTTTTTAATTTAGATAAAATCCCATTTATCTTTTTTTTTTTTTCCTTTGGTTGCTCATGCTTTTGGTGTCATATCTAAGAAACCATCGCCTAGTTCAAGGTCACAAAGATTTACCCTTCTGTTTTCTTCTGAGAGTTTTATAGTTTGAGCTATTACATTTCGGTTTTTCATTCATTTTTAGTTGATTTTCATATATGGTATGAGGTAGGGAATCCAACTTCATTCTTCTGTATATGGATATCCAGTTTCCCCAGCACCATTTGTTGAAAAAACTGTTATTTTTCCCATTGAATTGTCTTGGCACCCTTGTGAAAAATCAATTGACTATCAATGTATGAGTGTATCTTTGTACTCTCAGTTCTGTTTATCCCTATGTCTGTTCTTATGCCAGACATAGAGGACAAATGACTACTGTAGCTTTGTGGTAAATTTTGAAATTGATGTGAGTCCTCCAATTTTGTTCTTTTTTTTTCAAGTTTCTTTTTTTGGCTATTCTGAGTCTTCTGCATTTCCATATGAATTTTAAGGTCAGTTTATCAATTTCCACAAAGAAAGGCTGCTGGAATTTTGATGGAGATTATGTTGAATCTGTAGATCAAGTGGGGAATATTGCCATCTTAACAGTATTAAATCTTCCAGTCATGAACACAGGATTTCTTTCCATTTATTTAGGTCTTTAATTTCTTCCAACAGTGTTTTGTAGTTTTCAGTGTGGAGGTCTTATACTTCTTTTGTTAAGTTTATTCCTAAGTATTTTATTTTTTGATGCTATTTTAAATGGAATTGTTTTCTTAATTTCATTTTTGGATTGTTCATTACTGGTGTATAGAAATACAATTGATTTTTGTATATTGATCTTGTATCCTGCAGCCTACCTGAGCTCATTTATTAGTTTTAATAGTTTTTTTTGTGGATTCCTTGGAATTTTCTATGTACAAGATCATGTCATCTGCAAATGGAGATAGTTTTACTTCTTCCTTTCTAATCTGGATAAATGTTATTCCTTTTTCTTTTCTAACTGCCCCCGCTAGAACCTCCAACGCAATGTTAAGTAGTGAGATTCGACATTCTTGTCATATTCCTGATCTTAGGGGAAAAGCTTTCAGTATTTCACCATTTTAAGTATGATATTAGCTGTAATTTTTCATAAATGTCCTTTATCAGGTTAAGGAAGTTCCTAGTTTGAGTGGTTTTATCATGAAAGGGTGTTGGATTTTGTCAAATGCTTTTTCTGCTTCTATTGAGATGATCATGTGATTTTTGTCCTTTAGTCTATTAATATGGTATATTACATTGATTGATTTTTATATTTTGAACTAATCTTGAATTCTGGGATAAAACCTTCCTGGTCATGGTGTATAATCCTTGTTATATGTTGCTGTATTCAGTTTGCTATTTTGCTGAGGATTTTTGCACCTATATTCGTAAAAGTTATTAGTCTGTAGTTCTCTTGTGATATTTTTGTCTGGCTTTCGTCTCAGGGTAATGGTGGCCTCATACAATGAGTTAGGAAATGTTCCTGCCTCTTCAATTTTTTCAGAAGAGTTTGGGAAGGATTCATATCAATTCCTCTTTAAACGCTTGGTAGAATTTACCAGCAAAGCCACCTGGTCCTGGGCTTCTCTTTGTGGAAAGTTTTTTGACTACTATTTCAATCTTTTTACTTGGTATAGGTCTATTCAGGTGCTTTGTTTCTTCTTGAGTCAGTTTTGGTAGTTTGTGTGATTCTAGGAATTTGTCCATTTCATCTAAGTTATCTAGTCATTATATCCTTTTATGCTATTTTGGATATTTCTTTTCATGGTTAAAAACAGCATTTTTATTTTTGAATTTCACATAAAGCTTTACCATTTATCAAAGGCAAAAGGGAGTCCTCCCGATTAAACAATCAGTAAGCATTAGCATAGGAATGGGGACCCTGGGGTTGGTCAGTATTTGGCCACTGATGTTTGTTGACCTTGAGAAAGTCCCCTCCCCCCATCTGTCAGCCTTGGGCAGAGATATTGAACCTGTGAAGGAAAAATGTGCAAATTTGTTTTTCACTCTCTGAGTCTCATTTTGTGGGAAATAAATTGTAGGTTGTTTTGTAACAAACTGTTCTATTAACTCTCTCATTGTTAATTGCTTCTAGGTTTTTACCTCAAACGGCCCAACGGTGATCATGCCTACCTGGTTCTGCTCCAGAGCGTGGTTTTCCCACGTGGGCTGGTTTGATGAGGGCGGGCAGGTAAGTGCTGAAAGGAGGGGCACTAATGGGACCCCTGGTGCAGTGGTGGTGGTGCAGTGGTTAAGAGCTCGGCTGGTAACCAAAAGGCTGGCAGTTCAAATCCACCAGCCACTTCTTGGAAACCTTATAGGGCAGTTCTGCTCTGTCCTATAGGATCACTATGAGTTGGGATTGATTTGACGGCAGCGGGTTTGGTTTTGGTTATGGGCCCCCTGGCAGAAGTCCCGCTCTGGAATGGGAACAGGCCCCTTCTCCACGATGTAGTCCTGGCCTGTGTGTGATCACCATGCCCACCAACCCTGCCTTCAAAGCCTCTTCCCCTCTCCTGCCAAGCTGTGCCTGCAGGTCAGAGCAGGCTCTGGAAGCCTAGCCTTTGCCCAGAGGCACCACACTGCCTTTGTTTGCTAAAAGCAAGGATTTGTGTGTGAAGGCTGCGGGCGTGATTCACACCTGCTGGGGAAGGCTCCCTGGTCTCGGGTTCCAGGTTACCTCATCCCAGCTCAAAAGCTGTTTGTGGGAAGCAAGACCAGGCTGTGTCTAGGATGACAGGAGGGAGAAACGGGGTGGCCTCCTCATCCAGGCCTAGCAGCCTCCATCCCCTATGTGGGGTCCCCGCAGAGGCTGGAGTGCCTGGCTCACTGACTTCTACCTGTGATGGGTGGAGAAACGGTGACTGCCCAGCCGACCCCGCTCCACTCCCAGACAGACGGAGTCAGAATGAAAATTCCTCACCCCATACAAAAACAAATCTTAGGTTTGGTCAGTTTATTTTCCCTTCAGCCATCCTTAAAAGGGCTTTTGAGAACTTGAGGTCTGGTCTCAACGGTGGGGGAGACATACTGGGAGAGCCCCTGCCAGGCCTTTTCTTTTAGGGCCTTTGATGAGGCCACCCACCCACACACACACACCCACACCCACACCCACACACACACCCACACACGGACACGGACACACGGACACACACACACACGGACACACACACACGGACACACACACGGACACACGGACACACACAGACACACACACACGGACACACACACACGGACACAGAGGCTTCCATGCACACACCCCACCCACTTCTCCCAACCCAGCAGGGCGTAGAACCGAGCCCGGGGATGGCCAGAGGGGGGTCTAGGCACAAGGCTTCTGACGTCCTGGGATTCTTGGGGCCCCCTTCCTGCCTTGTGACTGTAGCAGGTCTGCCTCAGTTTCCCCTTGCGAGCCCACAGCATGAGGCCTACACCCCACACCCGTGCCTCTCCTCAGCCCGACCAGCACCATCCCTCATGGTCACCTGCTGCCTGTGTCCAGAGGCCCCCAGCTGACCCTGGGAACTTCCCAGACCAGGACAGGCAGACACATTCTTGATGCCCCTTGCCTCAGGCACCCGCAGGGGCTTCCACTGACCCTTGGCAGCCTGTTCTCGTGTTTACATCAGGTACACTGGGCCTCGCAGAGTTTCAGTGCCTCCCCACCACACCCCTGACCTGTGCTCCATCCCAGGGTTGGCCAGCAGGACCCAGGCCCACGAGGAGGAGGCAGCCAGAGTGGGGGTCTCGGTGACTGCAGGATGGCCTCACGAGGATCCTGCAGCCCTGCTGGTCTCAGCCTGACCCATCAGGGAGCCTCATGGGCATCCTTCCCACATGGACACAGTGCTGCCACTGTTTCTGCACCCAGTGACAGACCACTGTCTGTCTGTCCTTCCCCTACTCCGTTAGAATTGGAGGTGTCGATTTCTCATGGAATCTACCAGTCCACAAAGTGGGATATTTGGGCACCGTGATGCCTGTTTCTCACCCCCACCCCCTTCCCTCTCCTCCCCTGAGGCGCCAGCAGGTGCTGCAGGATGGGGCAGCCTCTCATCAGTCTAGATGCCCACGGAGGTACTGGTGAACCAAGAACGTCCATCCCAGCAAATGTCCTCACCTCCAAGTGACTTTGCTGACACCTCCACTCTCACCTAGGCTGGACCCCAGCACCTGCTGTTCCTGTTTTCTTCTGCAGAAAACACTGCCATGCCTGGTGGACAGAGACGTTCCACTGGATTCTCTAACTTAAGGACATAGAGCATTTTGAAAATCTGCTGCAAAAGACTTATTCAAAGTTTTAAAAAGCAAAGGAGTCCCTTTGATGACTAAGATGCTCCTGACCCAAGCCATGTCTTTTCCGTCGCCTCATACACATGCGAAAGCTGAACAATAAAAAAGGAAGACAGAAGAAGAATTGTTAAATTTGAACTGTGGTGTTGGTGAAGAACACTGAATATACTGTGGACTGTCAGAAGAACGAACAAATCAGTTTTAGAAGAAATACAACCAGAATGCTCTTTTGAAGTGAGGATGGCGAGACTTCGGCTCACTTACTTTGGACACATCATCTGGAAAAGCAGATCACTAGAAAAGAACATCACGTTCAGTAAAGTAGAGGGTCAGTGAAAACGAGGGAGACCCTCAGTGAGATGGATGATGGTAGTAGCTGCAGCAATGTGCTCAGACATACCAGTGATGGTGAAGATGGCACAGGACCGGGCGATGTCAGTTATTGTACGTAAGGTTGCCATGAGTCGTAGCTGACTCCACGGCAACTAACAACAGCAACAGGCCCTGAAACAAAAATGAAAGTAACACAAGTAATGTGTTGTTGGTTCAGAACAGGTTGCTTACAAGGGCGGGTTGTGGCCCCACCACACTGAGTTGGAACGGCCTGGAGAAGGCTTGTCATTGCCACGGAAAGGATGGGTTATTCAGAAAAAATGTTACCCCAGCACAACAAAAACTTTTTATGGGCATATATTTTCATTTCTGTTGGATAAGAACCTAGGGTTGGAACTGCTGTGTGAGAGGATAGCACATGTTTAGTTTTATAAGTTACAGTCACATCTTTCTCCAAAGGGTTGTACCATTGTACACTCTCAGCGCTGAGAATGAGTTCCCAGCTCCTTGCCAGCATTTGATATTGTTGGTGTTTTGTGGTTTCTCATTGTACCTTTAATTTGCATTGCCAGGATGACTAATGATGTTGAACAATTTTTCATGTGCTTATCGGTTATTTGTATATCTTATTTTGTGAAGTGTCCAAATCTTTTGCCCATTTTTAAGCACGCTGTCTTTTTATTATTGAATCGTTAGTGTTTTTTCAGATATTTGCTTTGTGAATGTTTTCTCTCATTTTTGGTCTCTCTGTTCCTGGATTTCCCCGCTCACTTCCATTGCTCTGCTTGTCCCAGATTCTGTCCTCTGCTCTTTAGAGCAGTAGGATTGTTGGTTTCTATCTCTGTTTTATCTGCCCCTCCCCTTGGCCCCCCAGGAGTTATCTGTTTGCTTTTCTGTGCTCTTCAGACTCCAGGTACTGGTCTTACATATCGTGTACAGACCTTATAGTTGTCATAAAGGAGGATTTGCTATTCAGCCAACCAAAGCTAGAAGCCATCATCTACTCTTGTATTTTTAAAATTTATTTGGCATTGAAGACAGTTTGTATTTTGTTCTAGTGTTTACCTTTGTATTTACCCTTCTTTTTAATGCCCTCAAGCCCATGTTTTCTTATTAAACCTTTTATGATCTGATTTTGTCCATTTTTAAAGGTATTTTGAATCCCACCTACTGCCTATACAACAGCCAGTGAGATTATTCTATTTTCCTCTTTTTCTTTCCCTTCCTTTTTTTTTTTTTTTTTTTTTTTTGTTGCATTATTTCTACTTAGGTTAGAACATCAATATTTATATATTATTCTTCTACCTTTGTCCCTACCTTTGTGGTTTTAGACTTACAGTTAAATTAAATGTTCACTGTCAGGACTTCTGCTGAAGTTTCTCCAGCTGTGTCTTCTCCAGTCAGAAGAAGCTGCAGTATTCCTTGAGTTCTTGCACACTCAGAACTATTTTTCTATAGCCCTGATACTTGAAGGAGAGTTTGTATAGAAAATCCTTGGTCTACACTTTCTTTCCCTGGGTGTCTTGAAAATACTGGTTCATTGTTTCCTTGCTTTATATGCTTTTGAGAAGTCTGATGCTAATTTAGTTCCCTTGGTTTTGTAAGTTATGTAACCTTTTTGCTTGGAGGCTTTGAGAATTATTTCTTTATTTTTAAAATCTAATAGTAGTTGATCTGGTGAGCCTTTTTGATGCATAGAACCAGATCTTTTATTTCTGGAATGTTTTCTTAGATTATAGTTTTAAATATTAGCTCTGTTCCATTGTTTTGTTTTTCTGTTTCAGAGACTCCAGTTATACATTGGTTAGGTTTTCTTTGATTGTTTTTCATTTCAGAAACTTTCTTTCTGATCCTTTTTTACTTCTTTATATCATCTTCATTTTTTTGGTTATTTTCCTAAATTTATTTAATTTCAAATTTTTATTCAAATCTGCTTTCCCTTGAGGACCTTGTAATTTAATCTTCACTTGTCATATAATTTTGTTTTTTTCTTCAATTTCTTTTTTGAGTTCAATGAACTCTTTTTAGCAACTTTATTGAGGTATAATTCACATATACAATTCACCTATTAAAATGTACAATTCAGTGGGTTTTAGTAAATTCACAAGGTTGTACAACCATTACTACAGTCTAATGTTTGAACTTTTTGTCCCCTGCAAAAGAAGCTGTCTTAGGCTGGGTTCTCTAGAGAAGAAAAATTAGCAAAGTGTATACACACACACACACACACACACACACACACACACACATATATATATATATATAGAGAGAGAGAGAGAGAGAGATTTCATGCGGTTGTGGAGGTTGGCAAGTCACAAGTCCGTGGGTCAGACATTGGCTGGAGGCTTCTCCCAACTCATGTGGTTGCAGGAGAAGAATCAGCAGGTCAGATGTCAGGCTGCTGGCTTACAGAGCTCCAGAAGCCACCGAATCCCAAAGTTGGCAGGTCAGATGACAGGTTGCTGGCTCAAGTCCCAGGAACCAGAGGTCAGATGATGACAAGCCAGAAACAGGATCCAGAGCAAGCAAATGAGCTTTGCCAGAACGTCCATATGTATATTGGGTACAGGCCACACCCTTGAGAAAGTTCCTCTTATAACTGATCGGCTGATCGCATCAGATCACATCATGGAAATGATTGCATTATATTACTTACATTATTGTTGTTAGGTGCCGTTGAGTCAGTTCGAACTCACAGCGACCCTTTGTACAACAGAACAAAACACTGCTTGGTCCTGTGCCATCCTCACAATCCTTGTTACGCTTTAGAGTCCATTGTTGTGGCCACTGTGTCAATCCATCTCATTTAGGGTCTCCCTCTCTTTCGCTGACCCTCTACTTTACCAAGCATGATGTCCTTCTCCAGGGATTGGTCCCTCCTGATAACATGACCAAAGTATGTAAGACGAAGTTTCACCATCCTCACTTCTAAAGAGCATTCTGGCTGTACTTCTTCCAAGACAAATTTATTCCTTCTTTTGGCAGTCCATGGTATATTCAGTATTCTTCACCAACACCATAATTCAGAGGCGTCAGTTCTTATGGGAGATCACAAAATGGAGGATAATTACATAATCATGGGCTAGCCAGTTGACAGTAACATTAACCATCATAGAAGCCCTGTAGTCACAGCTCCCCATGTCTCCCTCTGCCCTAGCCAAAGACTAATCTACATTCTTCCTTTTTTTCTTTTTTTTTTTTTTAAATATCTTCTTCCTTTTGTTTTTTGGGAGGTGGTTCAGTTTTGTACTTAGTTACTGAACTTGTCATTCTAGATGGTTCTCCCCCGACATCCTCAAATGCTTGTTGAGGAGTGTATTTTAGCTTGGAGTGTTACGTTACAGCATGTTTTCTGTTTCATGGTTTGTTTTGTTGTTATTGTTGGTGGGTGGGGAGATGAATTTTCATCCACTAAAGTGTTTGGTTCTTGTTTTATTCTCATGCTGGTTTTGTGTAGATGAAGACAGTTCTTGTCTGTGCATTCTGTGGACAGACTTGGCATTTTTGGTGGTTCATGTGATTACTAACTCAAGAACTCCCCCTTCTGTCACTGTGGTGAAGTGCAGCTCCTTTCATGGATTTGGTGGGGGGTGAGGGTGGGGAGAAGGGCTGTTTATCCTTTGACTCTGTTTCCTTTTGTCTTACTGGATCCTAAGTCTCCCCCACGCCTCCCCTATGCTGTGCTTCTTTTCCCTGTACCTCCAGGTCACAGAAGCGTGTCGTCCTGTGCCTTTTGCCATCTCCACACTCAGAATCATGCTCTGATCTGCTAGAACTCTTTTTCAGGATGCTGTGCTCAGATGGCCCTGCCCTCTCCCTCCCCTTCTGCACAGTACTCCTGGACTCCCCAGTGAAGGCGGCTGGAGCTCAAGAGGCAGCCTGGCTGGAAGTTGGTGTTCATCTACTTGGTGACGCTGTGCACCTGTGTGGTCTCCGCTGTTCCTGTGGACGTGGATGTTTGGAGGATATGTGGGAAGATCTGGGTCTAGGCAGACCCATCTCCTCAGTTACCCAAAAGTGCTCCCTGACTCATTTTTAAGTGGTGACACCTCTTCCTCCCATTGTGGCGTTGATGTGCAGTTTTCACGCAGGTCCAGGGATACCTTCTCACCTGCAGGAATCCCAGCTCTACATGAACAGGACCCTGTGGTGGAGACGGGTGGGCAGAGTTGGCAGAAAGTGATGGCGACGTCTCTAGGCCCCTCTGTACTGGCAGCAGCCTAGTGGGTGCTGGTGAGGGTGAGGTGGAGTGAAATAGAGCAGAAACCATGAGATTGGGGGAGGGTAAGATGGGGACTGCCCCCCCGCCCCCGCCGTGTTCCTCCCATTGTCTGAGGAGGGGCCCAGCATCCCCTCCTGGGGGGAGCAGAGGTACCTACCACCTGAGGTCCTCCTTTGACTAAATTCTTCCTTTTTTGCTAGAAGATAAGGAAACCCCAACGGCTGAGTTATTCCTGTCTTTGAGAATGAGCTCATAAGCACCTTCTCTCCTGTTCTAACCTTGAAGTGAACATAGGGTCCAACATGCACTTTAAAGGTGCTTTCGAAAATACAGAAAATTAGAAAAAAGAAAAAATACACGGATTACTTGCCAGCCCATCCCCCACACAACTGCTATGAGTT